CCGCCCCTACTCCGGGCCCCAGTGAAGACACCATAATCCCTCAGGTTGTGGATGTTCAGGTTCAGCTGCTCTGCCGCTGCCAGAGCTCAACCGTGACAAAGCCGCCAGATTGGAGGACAGTTATCTGGACTAAGGACGCAGGAGGAGATACGAGAGGTCAAACTAAATTGGCTCACCAGAGAGGGGAGACGACCCTTCAGGCAATCTGCTGCTGCTCCCTTCAATGGATTGGAGGTCCCATCGGCCGCCCACTCCGCTCTGAAAAGGTTTGCCACATCTGACAAATGGGACATAGATGGAGAATGAGGTGATCCTCTGACGTCCTTGGAGTTTTGAATGACAAAGATTTCAAAGGCAGGACAAATTTCAGTCTTAGATGACTGCACACGGCTGCAGGATTTAAGCCCAACATCCAAATTACTTTTTAAGAACAACTTGTGCTTGTCCTTCTGGGAATAGCTAATTTATGGATGCACTTTCCAGAAATTATCAGGTATGACATTGGATCTGGTGTATGTTGATGAGTTTACTAAAAAAACAGAAGTGCAGGTAAAGTATCTCCTTTAACTCAGAGGGTGCGACCACACCAGGCCAAATTGCCCCAAACTGTATTGCGATACAATTCCCTGCCCTCCCTGGCCCCCCAACTGACCTGCATTTACAAGTCCAAGGCTGACTTGAAATCCTGCTGGCAATGGCTGATCTTCGGGGATTCTGCACATATTTAGTCCACTTTCTCACAGAAGCTCTGTTTAGCCCATAGACTGTATATAGAATGGACGCCGTCTACCTCCTCGCTGGGTGAAGCCACTCCGAGAACAGCACCCTCTGGTGACAGGCTGCAGTATAGGTCATAAATCCCGCCTCCGCCAGCAAAGCTTATGGAGCTGTGGACAAACTTTATAAATTTATTACACAGAATATACATTTTTCTGCCCGCTGTTTACGATGTTGACATGTAGTTATTGTAAGACTGGTTTGTGCTCAAATCCTATTTTTTCTGTGCAGCTCCTTTTTTAAAGTTATTTATGTTTTCTATGATTGACACTTGATACAGCCTATGGGCGTATGAAGATTGTGTAGCTCACCGGGGGGATACACTGTTTGAGCCGAGCGTCATCACAGCGACTCTTGGCGACTCTCCCACTGAATACACACAATGCTACTCTGAATGTTGGTTTCCGGAAATGCAGAGAAAACGCGGAATTACGAGAGCTTTTTGGCTTCAAATCCGTATACTGGTGTAAGGTGGAACCAAGTTGTCCTTAGTATATACAGTCTATGGTTTAGCCATGTATGCAATTACCCAACATTTAGGGTCATGCAGCTGTTGATTTCTGACAGATGTGGGTTGACTTCATGTTATACTCTATTCAACCGATCATTCCCTTCCTTCTGCCAGTACAGGAGTCGTCTTTTCATTGTCTTTCCTCTCTTTTTTTCAAAGTAAGCCAGATTTTCCCTTCTGCTCAGGTTGAACGAACGTAGCATGCTTCTGAGCACTCCCGCCTAAACAAGAGGGACTCTAGGGATCAAACCGACCTGAATACAGTGAGTCCGCCTCAATGCTTTTTTGTCTAGAAGCTTCTGTTTCTATGGTGTTAGAGTTTTTGTACAGAGTTTTGACTTTTTCTGTTCAGCTAAAACATTCCTTTATGTTGTTGCTGTAAGTTTCACATGCAGCCATTATCACTCCTGACCTATTACGCTCAAAGAGATGATTTATCCCCTTGTTTGTTTCTGCCGCGTCTTTTTTGTTCCCTACTTTATCTTCTCTTTTTTTCGTGACTCTTTCGGCTTTACTTTCTTTAAAAAAAAAAAAAAACTCTTCTATCCATTCCACAGAATTTACTTAAATACTTTCAGCATGACTCACAGGACTTGTCAAGGTTAACAAATCTGCCCATAAGGAGGTATTAATGAGCTTGTGGCTTAGGGGAAAGTTTCTCAAAAGAAAAACAGGCCTCCTCTTTACCCCAGGATATCGTCCACTTTGTGTTATGTTAATCACTCAGGCCTAATTAATGCCATGCATATCATTAACAAAATGAAGATTCAAATGCCAGCATGTGTTAATTACCACTGCAGAAGTCACCTACATTTCTGCAGTTAATGTTAACGGTCTGTCTGGACTAATCTATCCCTCTCATCTGTGTGGAAAATAAGAGAATATGTGACGTACCACTAATTTAGAAAGCAGCAGATTTACCTCTAAATTAGACTTGGGAAATTTTTCTCTAAACGGATTATATATTTCTAATGTCAAAAGCATGAAAAAAAAAACATAGTCATCACTGAATATCTGAGCATAAAAGTGGTAAATGAACTATCCAGAGGCACATTTCCTTCTTTTTTTGTTTTCTTGGTCATTTCTTGGGTGAACAAACTCTTACGCCACAGATGACCTTTTTTTTTGGAAAGACATGTGCTCAAAAGTTTCGATCAAATCACCTTAAAATCGTAGACATACAAATAAAGGTTCTTCCAGGATTTAACATTTCGTTAATTAATCCTCAACTCGCACACATAATTAATTGACATACGCTCGCCCCCCGCTGCTGTCTCAAACTGTGCCTCCCTGCTGGGAGAGTTAATTGTCAGGTTAGACGCTTCGCCTCCAGAGGTTTGCGCTGTGAATTGTAATGATTTCAACTTTTTTTTTTTTACTGTTCCCTGTTAAATACCTCATGAATTACTCCACATCCACCATTAAGTTCAGAGGCTGCTGTTTGAAAGCAGTAATAAATACACGCTGGTATTTGGATTTTATACAAAAAGGTAATTTTATCATTTAATTATGTTGTTTAATTTGCTTTATATGTTAATATTACATAATAAAGAAGGAAGGATTTAAGTTTTACCAAAATCAAACCTGAGGCTGTGTTAAAAATATGTTTTCTGTGAATGGTTTCACTTTTATCTAAGGCTACCTTGACTTTCCCAGAGTAAATAGAAACCACCGTTATATGACTTAGTGCTGGATATAAAACTGCCAGTTCGCTTCATTTGTCATTTATGTTATTTCGTTTCTTTTCACGCCTGGATATGCATCATCTTCCACCTTTAACCAGTCTGGAGACAGCTTTCTTTAGATATGCACTCTTGTCCTCAATCAGCTGAATGTGATTGTTCTCCTCAGGCAAAAAGAAGGTGAATGGACTCGATATATTTTCTTTGTTCGAGTGTTTCCCCAGAGAAGTGAAGCTGGGACAGAAAAATGACCATGATGTAGATCTGCTCGGAGGCCCCTTTTCTTTCTTTCTTCTGGAGAAAAACTCCATATGCTTTTTTTTTCTTTCCTGAGAAGATACACATGGTCTTCTTTATAACTGTATGTCACTACTTTAAAAATGTAGTGCTAAATAATTCAGGAGTCTCTTATTATCATCTGCTCTCCCGTGAAGAGCTGAGACCTTAAAACTTCACAAAGACAAGTGGGTGTCCTCGCACTTCACCGCCTCCCCCACGCTACAACAAAATCTGGCATTATTCTAATTAATGAGACGAGTTCATTAGAGCTCTCTGGGTTAATGTGTTGTCCTACAGCAGATTAGTGAAGGGATATTCAGTGTTGCTGGAGCATCTTAATTAGTTCACAGTGGGTACTGACTGCTTGAATGGATGGAATAATGAAAGTCGTCACTCTTCGCAGCGGCAACTTCATTACTGCACCCTATCGCTGCTCATAAAAGGGTCTGCATTCACCTGGAACAGGGTTCAATAAAATTAATCCAATTATAAATATCAATAAAAGAAGAAACAGCACTTCCTTTTTCAACTTCTGATAGGGCTTGATTGTTCGGATTATGAGAATTACTGACCAAAACTGCCATCTAGTGGACTGAGGTGGTACTGCAGCCATGAAGAACGTCCATGTAGATTCTCATTCGTCCAGGTCATGGTTTTCTTGAAGACTTCAAAAACAGGCAACTGGACTGTGTAGAGTTGAGAAACTAAACAACCGCTTCACAAGCGCATGGCTCGACACAGGAGAGCCACTTCCTCAGGTCAGGACTCAGCTGTCCACCTTCACTTAAAAGGACACGGGTCACTCTTTCCAGGACAGCAATGTACAGGTGCTGGCTAGAGAAGACAGAATGTTTGAAAGAGGAGTTAAAGAAGCCATCTTTACCAGACTGGAGAAACCTTCTCTGAACAGAGGGGGTGGACTCACGCACAACCTCTCCAGCACTTACAATGCAGTTCTCAGCTCTCTCCCCAGGAAGCGCCACAAACATTCACACCTGGGACCACATGACCCAGGTGGCATGAGTCACATTGGGGGGAACATCCGGAGATGGGTTTCTACGACCCATTCTTTCCAAACCCCTCCCAGTCGATGTCTGTCCCCTTCTCCAGTAAGATAAATATTTGCTCCTCACACTAACAATAATTAGAACTGAAGAAGCTTCTTAGATAAGAGGTGAAACATCTTCTCAGCTCTGCTCAGTCCAATTGCCTGTTTTTGAAGTCTTCAAGAAAGCCATGAAGAACCAAAAAGACTTATGTGTTATTACCAGAGAGCGTTACGCTAACATTTTGTACTTTTTAAAATCCGCACTTGTCTGTATTTTTAAAAAAGTAGCCCATGATTTGACAGTTTTTGGCTAAATCTTGTTGTTTTTCTTCCAATGAAGCTGCCTGTAGCAAAAAAAAAAATCTAGTATATAACCGTAAACGACAAGCTGTTGTTAAGAAGGGTAGTTGCAATTTGGTCTGCAACAATCATTGAAGATACTCGGGGTGAAACAATCAGTGTCTAACAAATACTGTTGATTGTTTCTCCATCTCTGAATCCGACAGTTTTTAACTGATTTAATTTGATTTGATTTGAAGACTTGGACTCATTACTTAAGCACTTTTTAAATCCTGTAAAAACAATGACTTTTAACTCAAAACAACAGCACACAAAAGACAATTTGCAAATCCACAATCTTGCTCTCATTATTCCTTGTGTATTTCTTGGATTGTATTTGATATTTGCACGAGTCCAGCTGTAATTCTGTTGTTTTGCATGATTTATTTATTTATCCTTCTTGGGAGTATGACATTGCACAAATCCAAGTATCATTCCCTTGTTTCCTCGTGTTTCCCACACGTCAATCCCTCCGCCTAATAGCATCAGAGAGGAACTCAGCTAAGCTCCAACAATTAACCCTGCAGTCTGTTTGAGCCGTGTCTCATCCTGTGCTTGTGTAGTGTCATATTACACTCCAAATGTAATTGTGAGTCCTTAATTACCATGCAGAGGGTGTTGTCTTTGAGATAGAAGTGGAGGAAGAGAGATTATGAGGCTAATTCCCTTATAACTTTTTCCCTCATTAATCTCCGAGGAGGGATACGAGATTCTTTAAATGCTAATGTCCAATAAAGATGTCAGCGGTGACATTTTACAGTGACAGCGCAGATGTGACCATGCCGTCGTGGGAGAACTTTTCTCTCTTTACTCATATTCTTCGTCTTAAATGTTTATTTGAAGTAACTCCTTCCTGGGTGAAACATCACTTTGTTTTAATCAGCAGTAAGCTTCCTCGTACGTCTTTGGGAAGTAATTCTATCAAACATTTTGCGCCAAGGTTGAAAATAAAACCCTTTCCGTCCTCCGAAACAACTAATTACTCAAACTTCTTTAGAGGAATCAAACTTTAATTCAAAGACAACTTAATTCTGTTTAATTTAAGCACAATCAGCTCTATGTACAAGAAATTATAGAGGTCACTGAAGAAGAGTGGACAATCAAAGGAAATGTTGCATTTCCTTAAAAGCACCTTTAGATCACCTTAAAACAAATGACGAATAAATCACAGGGCCTCATCAAAGACTTTCAGAGTCCAACAGGTAGAAAATGAAATGTGCTCCAGCTCTTCGCTTCTTTTCTGGTCTCAAGGACGATGCCTCCTCTGAAATCCCTTCTCAAGGAATTTGATCTTTTTCATCACGCCAATGTCTACGCTGACCAAGGCTCTGACGATACTCAACTCTCGTTAACTTCACTGAAGGTCACAGCACCCTTATGAGTTAAATCTGCAGAGGAGGACCCTAAAGGTTGGCGTAATATCGATCTCTGTTCTCGTAATCCCTGTGGGCAAACCGAGCATCCTTCTTCCCGTGCGGGATCCGTCCAAACGGCGCATGATCGTTGAAACACGTGTCGAAGACTTCATCCACGATTTTCTCTGCCTCCACCCGGCTGATGTTCCTCACAGCCAGTATGGAGCGGAGGGCACGACCTCTGACGCATTCCTGTACAAGAGAATAAATTTTAGCGGTGGATCATTGGGGGAAAAGGCAGTAAAAACTGAGCTGACCTCTGAACATTTACCTGATGATGCTGCTTCAAGCCAAAGTTAAATCTTGCAGCCTCGTTGGTGAAGGTGCAGTCGCCGCTGAGGTTAGCTGCCCGAATCTGGAAGACAAACAGAAGTCTATTATAATCAGTAAAGGGGGGGCGCTGGTTCGGCTTAGTGATTGGGGTCGGCAGCCCTGGTTTGATCCAATCAGTTTCCCCCTCGGTTGTCCTCAAACGAGCTTCCATCGGAGTCTCCAATCCTCATGATTCTCCAAACACCCTGCCAGCTCCGAAAAGCTTTCAGCTCCCACATCCTTTTCAGGACGTCCACATACGGTAGCACTGAATGTCCTCTCGAACAGTGCCCGTGTGTTGGTTCCCTGATGTCTATGGTAGTGGCCGGCCAGCCTCATCCTCCTAGATGCTACCTTCTTGCTGAACCTCGGCAGTTGCCGGCACAGATTCGTGTTGGTTAATGTGGATGTTCTGGTCCACATTCAGAACAGCTCGTAGCATTCTGGTGTAGCACCCGTCCAGGGAATTCTGCAGGGTGGGTGTCAGGGTCCAGCTTTCGCAGCCATACAGGAGGACAGACTTCACAGTGGCGTGGAATAGGTTCAGCTTTATGTCATTCATGTTTTTGTTTTTGCTAGATCTAAGAGCACTTACTTTGTTCTTGTTTTCTATTAACAGTTTACATATAAAATGTAGAATATGGCGGTTTGGGGAGTGTTTGGATTCCATTTTTAGGATGTTTTTAAATTGTCTCATAGCCAGTCCCAACAAAGCAGGGATTGGTGTGGAAGGAAAGGCTCTCACTGGCAGTATGTATTGATCTCTAATAACAGATATCTACAAACCTTAAACATGCTAGATACTGTGTCAACATTTAGATTTCCTGACCTACCCTGTAAATACGAACCCTCTGGAACAAACTCTAGTGGAAGCATTTACCAGATCATGAGCTACAGCCTGTAATTCAGTCATAGAAGAAACTACGAATCTGTGTTTTTCATGGCAATAAGCTCACAACACCAAAAATGTAGATAAACAGGAAAAAAGTGATTTTTGTCGCAGTTGCACAACCATGCGGTCAGTACCAGACAGAGTAACTCACCTCTGAACAAGCCAGATGTTTGTAGTTGTTAAACCAGTCCACGTGGGCCCTACAGTGGTCAAAGGCATGGATGAGCTCATGTGTGACCACTCGGTTCATGTGGGACTGCTGGTGGATGTTGTTCTGACACAAAACAATCTAAGAGGAAAAACACACAAATGTTATTTATCTTCAACCATCAATATTTGGAGTCATGTTAGACACCTGGATCTGGATTTGAAGACCCGCCAAAGATCTCTCTCTTACTTGAGAGGAACCTGAATCAAAACCACCGCTGACAGTCCCATCACAGTCTTCGCAGGAGAAATGTCGGTCTTTGAGCACTTTGCTGTGGAGAAGACATGATTGTGAAACCATATAATTAGTTTACTTTGCTGTAATTATACGTTTAGGAGTCTTGAGAAAGGACAGTTCAAATCTAACCATGCTTGTTACAGTCTACTGAAGTTATAATCACCATTAGAAAATATTATTATTATATGTGCAATATCTGTTACCAAGTGTTATGTAAGCAGCAAAAGGTTTTCTACAGTGCAGTTAAAGGTCACACATAAGAGAAGTATTATTTTGTTGAAAACCAGTACTTACCATCCTGAATTCTTCATGGCACTGAGGAGAAGTTTGGCATAAGGACCTGAGACGAGCACAGACACAGTTTAGAGTTGCATTCACTGTCACACACACACACACCTCTGCAAGATCCATTAGCTGCTGCTAAGCTGCTACAGGACAAAGGGTGCTAAATTAATGACTGCAGGGTTGACACTTAAGCATTGCATTGTTATTCAAATCACATGGAGGAAATATAACATCCTCTTACTGCTTTGATAACACTCCTTTTGAAACGATCGGGCTAATTTACTCACTAGTTTCCGTTGCAAACTGTAACATGACCTGACACTTGTGGTTGAAAGTGAACAGGCTCTCCCCGATTGATCCTTTCTTATACTTTGTCTTGGTCCTTCCCGGGAATAAGTCGTATCCATATTCCTCCTCTTGTTTCGTCTGATCCATCGTGTTAACTTAGAGAAACTGATTTATTCGGAAACGATGGCATTAACTCCCCCAGGTTAGCAGTCGCTAGCTAGCGAGGGAGGTCATCACTGTTTTTAGTGTTGCGTCGTTCGCGAACGATTCGTTAAAAAGAACCGAATCACTTCCTCAAGTGATTCGTTTGTTTCTCACTTCAGTTGAGTTGTCAGCAGTGCAGCTGCTATAGCACGCAGCATTGCCAGGCGAGCAGTCGACGAATGAGGGACCACATGCACCGATGCCTGAATCACTGAATCACTCACTGACCCTAATTTACAGAGTAGATAAATAGCATACCATTGGACAGTACACTTTAAACATCATTATTTATTAACAGGTTCAAGAAATACAGCCAAATACTCTCGTCTCCCGGTCCGAGAAGCTATGAATTGAACTGAATCCTGAACCGTTCAGTTGTGAATCAGTTCAGGAGGACAGAGTCACAGACTCCTCCCGCCAAGCGTTACATGATTCAGTGATTTAGTGAACGAATCATTTTAGTGAACCGATTCTAGTGGTTCAGTACATCTAAAAGAACTGCCATGCCCATCACTTTTTGCCGATCACGTGGTATATTTGGGTCAAAGGTATTGAATATTAACTTCTGATTTAGTTGACGTTTCAATTTTACAGATATATAACTGATATAATATCACTTATCTTTTTGCGAAGGCGTCACATTATCATTTTGCTTGTGTAGTTTTGTTAACGACTATTGTTCAGATCGTTTATTCAGGTAAGTCGTCAACTCTGACAGAGATGTGAGGACCAAAATGAAAACGATGGAATAGCCTTAATCCAGAAAATAATCTGGTTCCTTCCTTATAAATTTCTGATTATAAAACAAGATTAAAGAGGTTTCTTTTAAAATTATTCTAAGAATTTAACCCTGCAAATTATTTTTTACGTAGATAAGACAAATAGGACATTGATGTGGACTGCTCATGTGTGTCTCTTACATATGTGAATGTGCTGTTTGGGTTCCACTAAGTGTTGTCTTTCGCAAACGATTCGTTCAAAAGAACCAAATCTTTTAAGTGAACGTACTGATCTGAATCACTTCCTCAAGTGATTTGTTCATTTCTCACTTCAGTTGAGCTGAAATGAGAAACAGCATTGCCAGGCCAGCAGCCGGTGAACGAGGGACCACATGCTCGACACATGAATCACTTGGTGAACGAATCACACATTGAGCTACGCTCTCTGGAATCACTTTTGTCGGACAAAACTACCTTTTTTTTTGCTAAATTGCCTCCACAACAACTTGCATACAATAGGACACAGCATGTAACAAGTAGTGCATTAAACCCACAGAATCCTATCATTGCATCAGTTTGCAAGGGAACGGTGCATGTTCAGTTTGAATTGTTCCAAACATTCAGTGAACAAATCACTCACTGAGCCCAATTTACTGAGCAGACCTGATAAATAGCATACCATAGGACAGTACACTTAAAACATCATGACTTATAAACAAGTTCATTTTTACAAACCTGTTTGCCAAAGCAACACAGCCAAACACTCGTGTCTCCAGGAGCTTTGAATTGAACCGAATCCTGAAACGTCCAGGTGTGTATCAGTTCAGGAGGTCGGAGTCGCATTTAAAAAAAAAAAAAAAAATTCTTTATTTTTGACGAAGTAAAGACTCTGTCATTATAGACGATCTTTGAACATGCCCAAGTCTCGTAGAGCATGCTGGTACTCCGCTGTCATGGCTCCGTATATACAAACAGAAACCTATGAGAAACGACTCATTTTGTCGTAGTTTTGTGTTAAATTGACTTCTGCTACGTTTTAATTGTCGTTATCTGCGGGGAAAAATAAGCTAAAACTATCCAGGTAGCGGTAGTTTCACCTTCTTTGACGTTATTTTATTTTAAGATTTTGTAATTTCGCTTTCAAGCTAGCTAGCTGCTAGCATGACAGCGTGACACTCGTGTTTCCTTCTTAGTTTCATCAACAACTCCAGGACAGCAACAACAACAAAAAAAACGGTGTTAAGATTTTGTCCAAAAACAAATGTTTATTTCACAGGGGATGAGATGTCCGGGGGAAGCAAAGCCGTGGAGTTGCAACTTCAGATGAGGCAAAATGCGGAGGATATGCAGAGTTTCATGAAGGAGCTGGAGAGCTGGGAGACAGACATCAAGAAGAAGGACGAGGAGCTGAGGACGGGGGGACCACAAGAGGCCCAGGTAAGTCACCAGCTACACATCATGGAAGAAGCAGGTTATAGGGATATTCCGGCGTAAAATTAAGTTAGGGTCAAATACACCGTTACACCGAGTTAGACACCCCCTCAAGAGATGAATGTTACAGACTTCTGGCTTCTCTAGTTATAACCATACAACAGCAATACAGAGAGCCACGCGCCCAACCAAAAAGCCACTCTATAGCCACAAATAATGCTCAGAACAGCACCTAACTTCATCAACAGTACATATAGGGTCCTAGCCATAGTAGCCACCAAACATCTTTTTAACTTTGCCTAATTTCTTTAGCAAAGAGGCTAAAAACAACTCACCTACTCTCTTCCAGCAGCCACTTGTTTGTACGGAGACCTTGGGTGAGTTCATTGACTGCAGCGGGGTGACACAGCTCAAGGAAGAACATTTCTGATCATTTCTTCATGGAAATGCAATCAGACCGTGAAGAAATGATCATAAATGTTCTTCCTTGAGCTGTGTCACCCCGCTGCAGTCAATGAACTCACCCAAGGTCTCCGTACAAACAAGTGGCTGCTGGAAGAGAGTAGGTGAGTTGTGTTTAGTCTCTTTGCTAAAGAAACCAGACAAAGTTAAAAAGTTGTTTGGTGGCTGGGACCCTACATGTACTGTTGATGAAATTAGGTGCTGTTCTGAGTATTATTTGTGGCTATAGAGTGGCGTTTTGGTTGAGCGTGTGGCTCTCTGTATTGCTATCTGCGGTTGTTACTAAAGTTGGTTTAACGAGAGAAGCAAGCGGTCGGCAACATTCATCTCTCAAGGGGGTGTTTAACTTTGTGTTACGGTGTGTTTGACCCTAACTTAATTTTAAGCCGGAATATCCCTTTAAGTTATGATAGTTGTAAAGGTATAAGCAGCATGCTGTGTCTGTTTTGTAGAAAAATCTTCCTCCTGTGCGCAACAAAGACTACAAAACAAAGATGAGGGAGAAGAAGAAGAAGAAGAGAGAGCAAACTGGCAATGGGGACTCAAAAACAGATGCTTTGAAAGAAGCCTCAAGAATCAAAGGATATGACTATCGGTCATGGGATAAGTTTGATGTGGTAAGTTGATGCATTTCAAGAGAGTATGCTTATATCATCAGTAAAGTCGACTAAAGGTTAACACCTCTTGCGATCGCAGGACAAAGCTCTAGCCGAGATGGATAAGGAGGAAAGCCCTGCAGAGTCAAATGAATCCGACTCAGAGGAAGCTGCAGCTGACAAGAAGACGGCGCTGGCTGAGAAAGAAAAGGTGAATGCTTTGTCGCAAGTAATGCAACAAAACACAACAAAGATAAAGAGAAATGATCGTCTTTAAAAGATGAATTCTTTTGGGATTTTCAGGGAAATGCGTTTTTCAAAGAGGGGAAGTATGATGATGCCATAGAGTGTTACACCAGGGGAATGGAGGCAGATCCTTACAACCCTGTGCTGCCAACAAACAGAGCCACCTCCTTTTTCAGACTCAAAAAGTAAGTGCATACGAGCAGATTGTCATTGTGTTTTCTGTAAATCAAAAGAAGACTATAGTGTCTGTTAATGCTGCACTATCTTTGTAAAAATACTTTTTTTTTTTATCACAGGTATGGTGTTGCAGAGTCTGACTGCAATTTGGCAATAGCTCTGGACAGCAACTACTTCAAAGCATACGCAAGGAGAGGAGCAGCGCGGTTTGCTCTGACGAAATATGAGTCTGCATTAGAAGGTGACGATCTACTGAAGAGATAGTATGAGATGTTTGACTGTGACAAACTGAGATGTTATCATTCTCCTCCTTCTTTGTAGATTATGAGATGGTTCTCAAGCTTGACCCGGGGAATGTGGAGGCACAAAATGAAGTTGAGAAAATCAAAAAGGTGTGTGTAAAAGTCTTTCGCGAGAGGTGCCTAATTTTTCAGCTTCCTCTTTAACCACCTTTTCTTGGATCATTCCAGGCCCTTGACGGTCAGGTGCCTTCTGCCGAGAGTGAAGCGACACAGCCAGAGGAGACTCCCACAGAAGACCTGGAGCGACAGAAGCTGATAGAGGAACAACAGAGACGACAAGAGGCTGTGATGCAGAAGGACAGAGTAAGCTTCCTCGTGGATCACTGTGGTGTCACAGCTCGTAAAGATGACTCAATCATGTGTATTTCTGAACGGTTTTCCAAAGTGGTGCTATCTTCTGAATGTAACTTTCAGGGGAATGCTTATTTTAAAGAGGGGAAGTATGAAGCAGCTGTTGAGTGTTACAGCAGAGGCATGGAGGCCGACAGCATGAACGTATTATTGCCTGCCAACAGAGCCATGGCCTTCCTCAAACTGGAGAAGTGAGTATTCATTTCCACTGTGTGCTTTATCTTGTAAAAATAAACAGAAAGGATAAGAATAAAATTACGATGAAATTCATACTGAGCTACAAAAATGTAACTGGTATGCATTTTTGTTATTTAATTAAGCATAAATATGTTCTTAGATTAAATTATGACTCTAATATGTTTTACTCAGCATGTATCTTTCGATGTGGTCATACTGAGCAAAGCAGGCCAAGATTTTTAGTGTCTTTCTAAGATCATAAGAAGTGCTTTTCAAGGACCATTACTAGAAAACATAAATGAATCTTAATTTGAGATAAATTAATTAACCAACCTCCAGATTTATGGCATTTTGTACCAAGGCTGATATTGCAAAGGTCTTTTTAAAAGCACATTTTTCCTATCTCTAATGGCAGCAAATCAAATGAAAAACAGTCACTGTTTGGTGTTAGAGCAAATTCTGGTATGATGTATAGAATTATACTGTTTAATAGCCGTGCTTTGAATTGTAAGTATAAATCTTGTGTTTTAGTCTTTTTTATAAGTTTATTATATAATTCATCTACATTATATTACTGCCTTAGATATCCATGTTTATTGCATTTTAATGTGCTTGGAAGAATGGATTTATTTAAGACTCAAAACACAATATTTAAATTGTTTTATTTCTGTTTTTTAATGATTTTAAATGGCAGGATAGAAATCCAGAAGTCTTGTTGAACTATAGAGCACTTCTTGTCTTATAAACCAAAAAAACACAAACAATGAGAAATCAGCATTATCTATCGGCCAACCTGCTCAGTATCAGTATTAAAACTGTGATGGGTCGACCATTTGTTATTTATTTATGCTACATGTAAAGAGTATCTTAACCCTCACTCTGTTTGTTGCAGGTACAAGGAGGCAGAAGAGGACTGTACTAAAGCCATTTCTCTGGACAGCACCTACTCCAAGGCTTTTGCCCGTCGCGGCACCGCAAGGGTGGCTTTGGGGAAACTGCAGGAGGCCAAACAAGGTGCTTTAACAGACATCAGACTGACAGTTTATGTTCTCCTCTGGTATAACCCGCAGAAGACTATAAAACTGTGTCATGTCTGTCTCTGTGTTTTCAAATACAGTATAATGTTCAGCCTCTCGTTTCTAACTTGGTCTTATCATTGACAACAGCAACTAATGTCTAATTCAGCTCAACCAAACAGTAAAATTAAGAATGACTGATATTAGTTATTTATTATTTGGTCACATAAATCACAGTCTGTGTGTGTTTTGTGTTTCTGTACAGATTTCCAGGAGTTGTTGAGACTTGAACCAGGAAACAAGCAGGCCTTAAATGAACTCCAGAAACTCCAGGTAGTTTGTTTCAAGGATCGGTCATTAGTTTAAGTGACTTCTTGTCTCAAATGATAAAAGAACCATTTTGGGGAAAAAACGAAAAGAACTTTCTCACAGTTTTGATTGATTTCACCTGAACCCTCTACATTTTTGTTGCACCTGTGATGAGAAACAGAACAGAAATTCTGACCAAAAGAATGAAGTTTATTCTTCGTACGTGTGAAGGCTTTCTTTTTTCAATCTAGTGTACTGATGACTTGAACTATAAAAGTCAGCCTGAGTTTGCTTTGATCTGTTACACACTCCCTTTTCTTCTGTTGTGTTAGGACGAGGGTCCCAGCGGCCTCCTTCAAACACCAGACAGCACGCAGAGGAGGACCGTTCAGCCGATAGACAAACCAAAACATCTGCAGTCGGCGGTGAGACGCTCTAAATTCCAGATATACTTTTCTCAGAGTGTACCTGTGTTCTTGTTTCTCTGATGGGCTTTCTCTAATCAGCAATGCAGTCTTTATATTCATTTTGCTGTCCCCCATCTACATGTAGAGTCATGTGGTAGCGCTGTAATCCCGGATCTCACATAAACAGAGTCTGTGTCTCTTGAAGGTGGCACTTCTGTGTTGGTTTTATGTAAATTGTTATGTTGACATATTTGTGGTAAGGTCTTCTCAGGACACATGTTTTTGTGTTTATTTCCACTGTCCAGCAGGTGGCAGCACAGGCATAAATGTCCTTTAAATCGTTGCATTTTTACACCGTCATCATGTGTCTTTGCAGGAATTCAATAACTTCTGCAAAGATTTCACATAATGAAGAAAAACACAGCTTTTTTTTGTTTCTGAAAAGTAGCTGATAACAGACTTATAATGTCGCCTAGAAACCTCTGAGAAGGATCGACATTGAGGAAGTGAGTGGAAAGGTGTCAGTGCCAGAGATGTTGACCGCTGAGTCCAAGTCTTTAGTGCAGGAGGTGATGAAGGAGACTGAAGATGAATCCTCATCACTGTCAACATCACCCAGCGCCAAAATGATCAAGATCGAGGAGATTTCAGAAGTCCCTTCACACTCATCAGAACAGTCAGTAGCGCCACCTTTCACTTTAATATTTTTGTTAGTTTTGTGTGGTTTTAACTATTTTACTGTTACACTTTGCTTGTGTTGATCAGAGTTTCCTCTAGCCGACAAACTAAACAAGCAGCACAGGAGGAAATGGCTCATCTACCCGAACCGTCAACAAAACCTTCACCAGCAATTACCGAGCTGCCCCCTCCTCCCACTAACAGTTTCCAACTGGAGGCTGATTTCCGCAAGATCGGAAACCAGCCTGAAGTCATATATAAATATATAAGGGTGAGTTGAGTGTTTGTAGATAACTAATCTGGATGATCACGCCACCATTATCAGCAGCACTGTTACATTTGAGCGTCTTGTTTTTGTTCTTGTTTTGTAGCAAATCAAGCCTGAGGAATACGTGAACATTTTCCAGAACTCCCTCGAACCCGACATCCTTAATAAGATCCTGAAGACGCTGCATGGTTTCTATATCACGTGAGTTTTAAAGTAGCTGGTTTTTCTCTTCAGCTGTGTTTTGTTTTGTTGTGCTTAACCATGACTTATTTGCAGGAACGAGGCACCGGCCACCACACTAGAGATCCTCAGGAGTCTTGCAAGTGTGAGGCGCTTCGACATGGCCGTCATGTTCATGTCATCCTCAGAGAAGAAAGGTGGAGTCCTTTTGATGTTCTATCACATATGACTCAGACTCTCCCTTTTTTTAACCACATTTTCTTTCATGTCACTAACTTCTGTGCTACTTTTCTCCCCCCCAGTGCTTAAAGAATTGTTTGACTTCCTTCACCAAACTGAACTGGAAGCATCGTCTATCACGGCCTTAAAGAAGACATATGGTGTTTGACGTTTGAACTCATACTGCATCTGTAAACTCTAAATGTGAACGCACATTGCTGCATTGTTCTGAAAAGAAACCAAAGTAGTTATATTCTAATAAACGCCCATTCATTTTCATTGTAGTTGACTGTTTTGTTGCGTTTCCACGGGAACACTGTTGTCATCTTTCCAAGAACAAAATCACTCTGGTTTACAATGGCACCCAAGAGTGGAGCCACTGTTAGGAGTTTTTTCTCAGAAGGGTGTCAGAAAATATTACTTATGCATGAAGAGGACAAGATAAGTATAGACAGCTTTGTCCTCAGGGGGGCGCTAGAGTTAAAGTTACTTACAGGAGCTTTAAAGGCAACAGAAATAATCCAAATGCAGGACCGAGGTGGATTCAGCCAGCGCTCAGTGTTGATAATTAAAGAGCTGATCATTAATTATCAAACGTAGACCCGCTGAAAATCTGCTGAATACTTGGTCGACAGATTCTGAGAAAATATCGGTCGGTTTGACGAACTAAAAGTTGTGTCCAAAAAACAGAAATGACGACAGATTCTCTCAAAAATCACATTTAATGGAAGAAGAATGAACAAACTAATAATATCAATTAATTCTACACAAGTATAAAATAGCAATCAAGAGTAGGAGAAACATTTGTACAAAGTTTAGGTGTGTGTGTGTGTGTGTGTGTGTGTGTGTGTGTGTGCTGTTAGAGTGAAGTCTCTCTGGAGTCCCTGGGAGGCCTGAAGGTCAGGATTTCTGTGAAGGTGTGACCTGCAAACCCCAAAAAAAGAGAGAGGGTCATGGAGCTTGATAACTTCACGCTCAAAAGTTCCTCCTTTATTTCACATAACTTTTATTTTTCACTCTCTTTCCTCTTTTGGGACAAACAGTTAAAGGAAGCTTCTGTGTACTTAATCTGCAGGCTGCTCCTCAGTGACCTCTACTTGCAGAGAGCAGGTACTGCAACAGCACAGAGGGGATCAGTGTCCAGTACTTTATATATTTTTTTGTAGGACGGTAGGGGGAAAGTCCTGCCTCCCTCGCCTCTGATTGGCTAGAAGTGCTGGGCTCCCATTGGTTGTTCCTTTTGGCAGTGAAACATCATTGTCTGTCAGGTTATGGGTAGGATTAGGGTAAGAATTGGGGTTAGGGTTAGGATTGGGATTAGCTTTATAGTTAGGAGATTCAGAATTGAGATAATGTTCTGTTATGTTCTGTTCAATGTACAGAGCCGACATCCCGCGTTTGGCTTGAGCGTGTGATGACAGTTCCAGCTTTTCTAGCCAATCAGAGGCAAACAAGGCGGGACTTTCCCCTACCGTCAAACAAAAAAAAAATATCGCATCCAGGACAGTACAGATTTTGTCTATTTGAATTTGACTGGTCACAAAATTATAGATTTCAAACACGGGTGATATATTTGTCATTAAAGATGGCAGCATTAAGAGGGGGATGCTGATTTGATCAGATTACGTAAGAATGGATTTAATCAGCTTCATTAATGGGTGTACCTTTACTTTGCAAATAAGGAAATAAGGTATAGCTGAGAGTCCTCAAAGTGAACTAAAATAATGATCTTAAAGAGCGTAGAATGAAATTTAAAGCTATGTAAAATCAAAGTTCATCTTTACATGCTTCTCCCCCATTTCTTACGTTTCCACTGGTCCAGCGGCAGATCTAGGTTGTCCATGGTCTGATCGTAGGGCAGCGCTTCAGTCTCCTCCTCGACGTCTCTGAACTCACTGAAGAAAGGCAGTTCAAGCGCCTCTGACGCACTCACCCTCCGCTCAGGGTCAAGAAGTAGCATCTTCTCCAAGACGCATACAGCTGCGATGCAGGTACACAAATCAGAATCAGCAAGGCAGAATTTATCACATAAACATCGAGGTGAATTGAAAAGACACATATCTTCATTTACCGTTTGAGCTAGCTTTGGAGAAAATGGTGTGCAAGTCTTTTTTTGGCACTTTTGGCAAACTTCTGATGTAGTTTTTGGCCTGTTGGGGAAGGAAGCAGAGAGACGGCAGGTGTACAAAAGGATTTTCATCAGTCTGAGACAAGCCAGGTAAGGACGAGATTTTGTTTTGATGCTTATTGTCTGCATCATGAGTCTCTGAGAAGCACAGCAAATTAGGAAATCCTCCAAGGGTGACGTTCTCACAAAATAAAACTCAGAGGATATAAGAGATAGAAAAGAAAAGAAGTGGTGGCTGGAGAAAACACACTGTGACTGTTTCCTGGCTGTCTTTCTGTAATGATGCATCAACAATAGCGCAGCAGAGTGAGTCACCTCGGGATGATATTCAACCCAAAATACATCAACAATCAAACAGTTCATCCGAGGAAGAAGACACGTTTATACTGCGCAAACCTCTGCGACTTACATCTTGGCTCTGTAGCTTCACAACAAAGTCAGGAGTCGGGGTTCCTGTTATCTTCATGATTTCTCTGAGCTGATCGAGGTCTGGCAGTTCCTGTGGTTAAGAAACATCCTCTGTGTTGATTTTATCATTTAAGTGAGTGTCTACCGGCAGGAACTGACTACATGATTTTAAGAGGAAATGAGCTAAATTGGCAGGTCATGAAGACGCAGATGACTCCTCTGTGGTGCGTACATATCATATCATGTCCGTGCATGAAAAATATCCATGTCAGAGCTGTATGCAATAAAGGATACGATCATTTCCTTTGAACAGCGGCTTTCCCAGCAGCATCTCTGCCATAATGCAACCAGCCGACCAGATATCCACTGCAACAGAGATCAAACATAATTTTCCTCTCTGAATCTAGGTTAAGAAACAGGTCAGTTGAGTTTCTTCCTGCCCTCTCTCTCGAACTCAAAATGTGAAATGTGAAGTTTTACCACTTTGTGTGTAGTGCATCCAGTTGAGGATGACCTCAGGCGCCCTGTACCAGCGCGTAACGACGTAACCGGTCATTTCTGCATCAGCCTGCCTTGCCAGGCCAAAATCAAGAATCTGAAGGAGAAAAAGCAGAAGGGTTACATGAAAATCACATGATATATGATAAGAAAAATTCACAATAAAAAGGATGAATGTCAGGTTGGAGTACCTTTAGCTCACAGTCAGGGTTGATGGCTAAATTCCCAGGTTTGAGGTCCTGTGGATCAAGAGGACAGTTAGTAAACAAACATTCAACCAGCCTTTTAACCATCAAGATTTTGGCTTTCAAGGTCACATTTAAAGGCCCAGGAGACTCTGGATCCCTAAACTTTCACCGGGTGGCCGCTGATTTTATCAGGATCTGGCATCATGAACTAAACCCGGTCATTACATGCAGCCATAGTGGATGATTTCTGCAAAATCTGCCCTTGAACTACTCTGAGAAAGATGTATAGACATGAGGGACATAACAAATTTATCAGACAGCGTATCATTCCGTCTAGCGTTAAGAGACTTCTTTGTGTGGGGATCAGGATGAATGGAAACAAGTGTGAGAAAGAGCTAGTGCCCAGCCCCCAGAGCTCATAGTCCGAAGGGTCAGAGTTCACGCACCCGGTGGATGATTCCTGCAGAGTGGATGTACTGAGGACAGAGGAGATACAGACAGAATCAGCTCAAGGACACGAGTTTATCACTTCAGTTTTTCACATGATCAAACTGATAAAACAAGATGTTCTAGAGCAGAGGAGGAGACGGTCACTATTTATGCATTGTGGTTGGGGTGTACCTTAAGTCCTCTGAGCATCTGGTAAACCAGGAATTGCACTCTGTCTTCTGTTAATCTCTCCAGCTTCATCAGCTTGCCCAGGTCAGTGCCCATGTACGGCATCACCAGGTAACTATAGACAAGAGAGGGAGAGTCAGTCTGGGGGAAATCAGCGACAGATTTCTTATAAGTACTCAGAAACTGACCGAAACTTACAAGTCACGTAAGCGGTCTAAAGAGATTTCAGCAGTGAAAACATCCAAGAGTCCAATCACCTGAAATAAAAGCAAAATAAGATCAACTTTAACACAAGTTTAAATCAAATGAAGTTTAAATATGCTGTTTAAACTTATTTTTCCTTGTATTCAATGAGTGTTTTTACATTTTCGTGCTTCATGTGTTTGAGGAGTCGCAGCTCTCTGTAAGCGCGCTTGGCAAACAGTTTGGACTGGAAAGGCCGGTGGAGTTTCTTGATGGCCACCTGCGTGCTCGATCTGCGGTCCCATGCTGAACTGAAACAAACACGTACATCAGCATAACTCATCTACAAACTAAGAGAGAGAATCCAAACTTCGCTTTAAATTTAACAGACCATTTCACAACAAATGTAATCCCAAACCTACAGATATAATCAGTGACACCTAAATGAAACAGTGCCTCATTAATGATACTACACCCGAATCTCTCTTACTATTACCCATTACCATGTCTGCAGTGAAAGAGGGTCTATTTGGGGTTGAAGACAAAGTAGTAGGACTTTCAATGGACTTAAATCAGGCTCTTTGACTTCTTCAACAATGAGATTGGGGGGTGGTTTTCTTTGTTGACCCTCACCCACACAACACAATGCAGAGGAGGCCCCGCAGAGCCAGCTGTGGACCCAAAATACCCCACACAAGCAGTGCTACCAATACAGAAATATCATGGTGGAAGTAAAACCACCAAAGCAGGAATATCATAGCAGAAGAACAACTATTGAGGGAAGAACTCAAAGGGGAAATAGAGAAATAACTTCTTAATTTAAGATGCAAATGTTTCTTTTATATAAACAGAAGCGCTTTTGCTCTACCCCTGCAATGAAGGAACTGAAAATACCAAAACTAGTATCTATTAGTGTACTTTAAAGACTGTAGTCCACCCTACTTGTTTGCATATAATCACAACCCTGCCACCAAATCAGCTGATTCCCAACTTCAATCCATCTCGATAAGTGACTCACCACACTGTCCCATAGGCTCCTGTTCCGACCTGTTTCAGATCCCGGTACCTCTCAGGAACCTCCCACGCGGTTCTGTTTACCTCCTGCCGGTAGAAACCCGTCCTTGACCGCACAGCCATCAGACCCACTAGTCACGGCTGAGGCCAGGACGCGGGTCCGCTAGATACTGGGGCCCGGTCCGCTCCGTCCACTCATGTGACAGCGAGATATTTGACTTCACAGTCGCTCTTCGTCTGACCCACTGTGGAGGAGTTTTCTGAGCACGAATTCCTCCACATGAACCAAAGAAGGTCTGCAGCTCTCTGCAGGGTCGCCAGCTACACCCCCAACACACTCAAACACACATACACACATTGTTAGTCACGGGTCTCGGTCGCCCAGGGCAGTCCATGGGTGTGTCTTCAATGTGGGAGAAAAGGCCACAAAACATCTGCCTACCATTAGATTACCCCCTTCACCCTAGAACACTGTCGCTAAAATTAGTAACACTATCACTACTGCCGGGGGATTTTTACCCGAAATGATGTACCCAAGAGAAAGTACTTGTCATCATAATGGGACAAAACATGACAAATTAAAGTAGTTTTTCTTTATTTTTAACTGTGCAATGTCCAAAGGGAGGGAAAAAAGTGCCATGAGGGGACCATATACAAATGCAACAAATTAATTAGGCATTCATGAACAAAAAAAATCTTGAAAAGAAATAAAAAATATAGAAACTGTAAACTTAGTTTCTTTTCCACCCATTTCTGGGGCATGTGAGTCTTCCCTGATGAAGACTCAGGGTCCTTGGCACAATAACAGCTGCAGGAGAGAGAACCAAAATATGGCAGATTTGGAGTGAGTAAAAATGACCAGCTGACTAAATATGAATTCCCTTGAAAATCACAACTTTGTAAATGGAGTAGACCACAGTGCAAAAGTTATCACACTGTTTATTATGCCTTTTAACTCTGCACTACTGCCTTATGATCATGTTTATAGACTTTTTTAAAATCATTCTTTTAGTGTAAATATTGTTACAGTATTTGTAGAATGTGTACTGTGTTTCATTGGTGCTGCCTCTGTTTTTTGAAATTCCCCTTGAAATTATCTATCTATCTATCTATCTATCTATCTATCTATCTATCTATCTATCTATCTATCTATCTATCTATCTATCTATCTATCTACTTTACCCTCTATCACTATTGCCAAGTGAAAATCACCCGAACATGTGCCTGTAGGAAAAAAAACAGGGATCAGGGAAACAAATATGCCTTCAAAGACGTCAAAGGCAATGCTGAAGCTACCCAGGGACCCATCATACTCAGACAAATGCATCATAATGAAAATCATGTAAACATGTTTGGTTGGCTAAATAAAGATAGCATGCAAATTCCAGGGCCACTTTTACTGACCTTATTCGCCGACATGCAGCTATCAAATCCACCCAAACCTACTTTACCCTCTATCACTATTGCTTAGTGAAAATCACGTAAACATGTTTGGTCAGGTGAAAATCACCTGGCGATAGTGTTCTAGGGTTAAATACTCAAAGAAATATGCTATTTCTGTGGTAGATTGTCTTGCAGAGAAAAAGCCTGAATCTAGCCTACTTCAAGCCAAAACCAATCTCTATTATGTATAAGATATTAAACTACAGTTTAATTTCTTAATGTTTTATCAAGAAAAGGAAGGGCCAGTTGCCAAAAGACAGACTATAAAAGAAGAAAATGATGACTAGCAGAAATGATGGTCTTTATTCAGTCAAAGCCAAGACTTGCTTAGTCATGATACCCGTTCAATGGTGTGAGAAAATCATCAAAATCAACTGGAAATGGAGAGCTGACATTCTCTTAAGTGATTTGAAACTGGACACCACTGTTAAATCACATGCCATCAGTTATTCGAAAGACACTTCTACCTTATAACATACATACATTATACATATACATTCGCTTTGCAGTTTGCTATTCAAGTCAACCACATATACAACATCCACATAAGCACGTTATACTAACATTCAGAGCTTGAACACTCATTGAATGAGACAGATGGTTTTGATTTATTTGGGCTGTAATTTGAACATTTTGCGGTCAGTGTTCATGGGAAAACTTACACAAGAGGCTACATGTAGAAACTCCAGAGAGAAAAGAACTAAGCTGTTATTTTTTTACTTTTTGTTATCACCAACACCCGTTTGAGGCCGAAGTATCCCACTGGCTGAATGTACAACATGTAACATGAAGTAGTAAAGCCAAAGAACTGAAGCTAAACTTTTAAGCTAGCTAGGTAGATGCTAATGCTAGCTTGTAGCTTTTTAGCTAACGTAAAGAAGCTGTGTGGATCCTTGGCGGTCAGTTGAGCAAACTAACTCACTAAAGACTCGTATAAGTGCTATGCTAACCATTTACTAATACCCAGAAGTTTACAGATAAGGTTTCTGTAAGTCAGAAAAAATTAATAACAAGGGATTTGGTCCCACAGGAGACCAAGTATTTGACGTTTCCTAAGCTATCTGGCTTGAATTACACTTTTGCAAATACGCAGATCTTAAGTTGTACTTTTATTGTATTTAGGATTATATTGAACCATTTAGACTGTATCCCAATCAGCTAAGTTTGAGTCAAAGCTAGCTTGTTGTTAGCATTGTTTTGATTGGGAAGAAAGTATTCTTTTCAACTGTTTTGTTGAGTCAAACTTAAGTTGAACACTAGGTAGGTCAAAGTGAACCCCCTTTATTTCACCCTGACCCAGCTGGTGACAGTGGTGAATCTCTGAGCTGGTCTAAAAGCTGTGAATTAAATCAGAGGAAGAAAATCCTGTTTTTCGTTTGGTGTTAATCAGCCGGTCAAAAGACTAAATTGATGTGTTTCAGGGGAAAAAAGGCTAAGCTTGGTTCCTTTTGAAAGCAGCAGTCAACACTTCCTGCGATAATTGTTAGGGTTGTTGTTGTGTGTTAATGCTGCATAAAAGACTATTTTGCAATCTAATAATGTAGGCTATTATGATGATTCATGAGCGGAATTGTTGTCCATTTGGCATCAGAGAACCCACTTAACTACCGCAAAAACTAAAATGTGTTTTTGTCTCATTTCAGAAAAAATGTCTCATTAGACTAAATATATCACATTAACCCCACAAGTCTAGATAAACATCCTATTTTTAGATATCGCAGGCCAAACAAAAGACTGAAATTCTTGTAATTGATAAAACACTGCCAATAGGGTAAGAAAATGTGAATTTCTTTTTTCTTTTTTTGGCTTGCAATATCTGGAAGTTACACATTTTTCTTCAGCGAACGTGGCTTAAGTCAGTAGATTAAGTCGACTGAGACATTTTTCTACTGGTAATAAGACAAAAACACTTGATTAGATTTGAGTTCATGCAATGTTTTCACTCCATTTTTCAACTTCATCTTCATTAATCAGCTTGAAAACTAAGGTTGTATGACTTTTTATGCTGTGGTTCAACACAACCAGATAATTTCTGCCTCAGCACAATTGTTTCTATAAAAGTCCAGGCTGCCGCAGGATGAATAAGACAAGGTCAGTGTGGAGGTTGGCCGTTTGTTGAAGTGATATGCATATGTACTGATCTCATGCTGCTTAGTGACACAAGAGGAAGCATTCCTTGGGCTGGTTAATATTACTGTATGATGTAGTAGACAAAACTTCAGAAACATCCACAAACATGGTAAAGTCCGGATAATTCCAAATGCAAATGAATGTGCACAATCTGTATAATGTCTCTGGGACAGTGAAGCATCTGAGGGATCATTGATAAACACTCCCTTGTTGCAAAAATCATCCAAATATGGCCGCTTTATGGAAATCATCAGCCTGGAATGTGTTTGACCAGTGTTGTTAGCATGGAGTTGTACCCAGCGTTTTACAAAATACCGATAAGATTAATTATTGTAAACACAAACGGGGCCTGCAAAAGACACCTCAGAGGATGATGGAAACCTGATATAGCTTTACAAACAAACTGGTGATTGAAAATCAGTCATCAGCAGAAACCGTATATGGGAAGCGAGGTCACTCTGTAAACACAGAACTGCAGTACAGTCACTCTGTTCAAGCTTTGGCATATTTTAATTACCTTGCTAATTAATAGCACAGTTGGTGTTTACTATTACTATGCAAGAAAGAGGGGGTGACTTTTAAACCAGGAGAAATGATGATTTTTCTGCGATTACATATCTTTGTTTTACAGTGCAGAACTCATGACGATAAAATGGATAGAAAAATTGGTCACACGTTCAGTTAATGCCTCTTTCTGACCCTCAGACTGGTTTCACAGCAGAGGGGCGTATGCAATAAGCAGTCTTAATGGTTATTGTACAGCACCTGTAATAGTTTGTAATAATAAAATGCACATAAATCATGCAATAATATGCAGGCTTAATGCTAAGCTGTGCTATGACATGATGATATTGCAAGCCTTTAAACATGAAGTCCATATATGACAGCAGTGAGTGCTTGTAACAGTTTTCATGATGAGGGACCAGATGGTGCTCTGTCTTGCTTTGGAAATCCTAGTGTGCATTTTTTCCCCTTCCTTAGATATCTTTCTTTCTCTCAGTCTGTAAACACAGTTCAGCTCTGGAAAGTTGCCGCCTCGTATGAGCCGTCACATCCCTGATCCTCCTCGCCACGATGAACGGTTCTCCATCTTGCCTCGCTGAGTCCTAACATAGGAGGAAGCAACTTTCTGGACTGGTAAGCTCCTTCTTATAGATTCTAAAATCTTCCCTGGAATTGCAATGTGTGCATCTGATTGTGTGAAGACCATCCTGCCATGATAACTACATGTCATGGCAGGCAGTCAAACACAACGTGGAGTGTTCTCCTAAAATTCTTTCTCCCACTCACTGAGTACGTGGTCCTTCTTTAGGAAGAGGTCGAGGCGGAGCAGCTAAAGGCTTACTGCTCCACCTGAAGGCTATCAGTCTTGTTGCCGGATGCTTTGACGCTGTTCACTTCCTCAAACACCAACTCTGTGCACATACAAAAGAAGAGAGGAAGCATATTAGAAGCATTACATGATAAGTGATTTAACATGTACTTACAGTGTCACTGTTATAACTCATAATGCTAATATTTAGGTTTTCTGGTGCAGGCTTTTAGGCTGTTCGGATTTATGTAATGCTGTTCTATAAAAACTAATTTAATTTGGATGCAAACCTAGAAATAAAACCCAGTATGACTCACATCTACTCAGAGCATTCGCACACAATTAACCCCCCAAAAACATGAAACATAATCCAATTTGAGATTTCATGCAAAGAAAAAAAACAAATCAGGCAATTTTGGTCTTGTAGCCCCAATTCTGTGACCAAACTTATTTTTAAGATATTTTAGGAGAGCTGGATGTCATTATTTAATCTGATTTTAAGAGACGATTTCTGGATCTTCTCTTTTGTAAAATCAAATCTTCTTTTTTAATGAGTTTATTCCAAGATGTAAGACCGCTCACTCAAAGGTTATTGAGACAAAAGCTTTATCTTGATATTTGGAAATGCCATGAAAAAGCTGCAATCACATCACATTTGTGTTATTTTCTTCCGTCATGAGCAAACGTGGAAACGCAGGGCCCTATTTGGACAATCTGTAGCTCGTGGTTTAAAGAGCATGGTGCATTAGGGGCATATTTTGACCTGCTTTTGCTAGTTAAAAGGTGCATAACCCTTACAAGTCTTAAATTAGGTGCAATTTTCCCCTTATTTTTATTGGTATATTTTGGGCACGAGCCAGACAAACCATTTAACTCTCCAGTGCGCGTTAAAAGCCAGGTGCACCTTTATCTGGTGTATTTATAGTAAGGATTTCATCCTAGTCCGTCAATTCAAACTTCTTTCATGAACATTCAGAGCACATTCATGCTGCATGCCTCTAAAAATAATGGTTACTGTGTATGTTAAAGGGCAAAATGACTCTGGCAGTTCTTGTATCAGGACTAATACACCCTAGGTTGCATAAACAGGTAAAAGTGTATTCGATAAACACACATCCTGAGCATTGCACTCAGCATCACCTTTCCATTCCTCTAGAGTTCTATCTTTACTCTCCAGTGTCTGGTCATAAGGCGGGGCTTCAGGCTCATCATCCGGATCATGGTACTGCGAGAAGTAAGGATGGGACAGGGCCTCACTCGCCGAAATCCTTCCATCACAGTCCAGAACCAACATACGCTTTAGAAGATCCACAGCTAGCACACGAACACACAGAGGGGGAAAGAGGGGCTGGAATAATTACAGGATTCCTAGAGGCCAAACCTCAATCATTTTCTAATTTACAACACAGAGAGATCAACTCACCTCTTAAACACTTTGCGATTGAATTTAAGATGGATAATCAAATCAGTGATGCATCACATACCTAGTGGGTTAGCTCCTCTAAAGATCTTTTCCAGGTCCTGTTGGGGCATAAAGGGCAGAGACTGGATGTACTTCTGTGCCTGCAAACACAGACCAGCACAACTGTGTCAATGTCAGTTTGTAGTCAGTCATCCCAGCACTGCCACATTGACGATTCAATCGACGGCCACGTCAATAGAATGATTAATTAATTAGAACGGGTAGACGGGGTCATCTGGAGCATTACAGTCTGTGCATAGCAGGGTTTTATTTACAAAATCTCTTACGTGTTCAGAGCAGATCTTCTTTAACAGATCGGGCGTCGGAGTCCCAACCATCTCCATGATTCTTTTCAGCTGGTCAATATCTTGGAGTATGAAGAGTTAAGGGCAACCATGATAACAGTTTTTACTCCTCGGATTGGATGATCTCATATGAAACTAACTTAGTTAAAGGCTGAGCTCAATCTAGACCACAAGTCCCACAACACAAAGATCAGTAAATCAAATTTGCTTCAGCTCTGCTCCTCGACAAACCTGATGTTCAGCCTTTTGTGATTGCTCCCATTCATAGATGCGCCTCCCCTTTTAGTAAGGCCTGGGATTGTAATGCAAATCCACAAGTAGTCTCATCCGGGGCACTTAAAGCTGTAATGGAGGGTTGATGCTACTAGAGGGAAAAAGCTGTAAATTGGCGTGGACTCTCGCCATGATGATAAAGGATACAGTCAGTGCCAGGAAAAAGGACTTTTCCCTTCAGCAGCTCTCCCATAATGCATCCCACAGACCAAATGTCAACTGGAACAGAGGGTTAGTCGTTAAACTTGAATGTTTCTTTGGGGAAAGTACATTAAAAAAGCATCAGTGGCATCTTACCGTTTTGATTGTAGTGCATCCAGTTCAGCATGATCTCTGGCGCTCGATACCAGCGAGTCGCCACGTACCCTGTCATCTCGTCATCCGTCTGTCTGGCCAACCCAAAGTCAAGAATCTGCAGAACAGGAAGACAGCTTCTTTTATAAATGATATTCATTAATTAGCATGAAAACTTTAACATTTAAAGTAAAGGCTAGTCTTACCCTCAGCTCACAGTCCTCATTTACCGCCACGTTACTTGGCTTGAGGTCCTGGGGAACCAGAGAACCAAAGGACACACAGGGAAGGGTTAAGATCAGAAGGATAGTTTGTCAGGAATAATAAAAGAGTTAAAACACACAGAGATTGATTGGATATTCTAAAATAGACATGAGTGTATTTGTCAGTGCTACCGGGAACTAACTAATTTATGATTTTCTCTGATTTTTTCTCAGCCAAATCCTTAATTTTCCCTTCTTGTAAGACATCACTTTTTTAAGACTGAGAGGAAATGTCACTCCACTTAACAAGCATGTTGTGAGCCAAACATAGTTTCAACTTTGTCTTGCACAAATCCTTATTACCCCTCCCAAAATCAGGTTTAACTCTAGACATCAAAAAGCTTTAATGAGGAGTTTAAAGGCGATGCGGCTGTATGTTAAGAGGTTAAAAGACATTTATTTCCATTTTAGAGCCTGTAAATGTTGTTATGGTTGTTCAAAGTTGATGGTCAAGCTGATTAGACATCGGAGAGAGAGGGCACTCACTCTGTGGATCAATCCTGCTGAATGGATGTACTGTGGAAAAGGCAACAGGGTGGGGCAGGAGGACGGGGCATGAAAGAGGGGGGGACATAAAGAGGGACAGGGGTCAGTAGTTCAGTTCAAGACTTTGCCCGGCACTTTAAAAGAGACTGCTTCTGTCGGTGCCATGGTAACCAGGGAGGCTGAGAACCAAGCCCGACTGGACAGATGCAACGTAAGAAAGCTTTGGATATAATCCAAAAATATAAAAAACAAAAAGGTCAAATTATTAAATCAATTAGTATCATATTTGAAGCTCAAAATAGAATTTAAGATTAAACAAAAATCAATTTACCTTGACTCATTAATTCAGCAGGAGCCCCTAAATGTCCAGTGTTGTGATTTAGAGGGTGTACAACTAGCTAGCATCCCAACAAGTATTAAAAATCTGCCAAAAGTACAACTTTCTCGTCCAAGGGTAACCAAAGGAGTGCCTCAGGGATTTATGTTGGGAACTCTTCTATTTATTTTTCAACAGTGTTGATCTAAACGTCACTTATCCAAACTTCATTTCTATGCTGATGAAACTTAGATGTATTGCACAACATCCACCTCAGTTTAGCTTTCTCCTAATCATTGTTATATGCGTCTGAAGCCTTAGATTATCAATAAAGTAATGGATCTTACTTATTTGCTTATCTGTTGTACTTATTAGTTTGAATTTGTATTTGTTGGCGTATTTTTTATATAAGTACACCCATTAACTTCTACAAATTGATAAAAACGATTTACATGCAAATGAAAAATAAAAACACTATGTATGCTGTACTGCAAACAGCAGATGTATTGGAGTGAAACAAATTACCTTGAGGCCACGAAGGAGTTGATAAATTAAGAACTGCACGTGCTCGTCTGAAAGCCTCTGGAACTTTACGATGTTATTGAGGTCTGCGCCCATCAGGTTAGTCACCAGGTAGCTGGAAGAACAGTGAGAGCGTATGAGTGTCTGGGAATGGGGGTTGGGGCAGATTCATTTCATAGGGAGAACATAGTGATGTTACCATGGCAACCGCTAGACATCTCTACGAGCCTATAATCCCAAGAGTCGCCTTTATCAACACTAGACACCCCCCTTTTGCATTTTTGGTGAAAAATGGAAACATGATATTGTAGTAGAAATGTTTGATATTTACAGCTCATTGAAGTCTTCAAGCTTTGCAGCAGGTGTGAAGACATCCAGTAGTCCTATTACCTGCAGCATCAGAAACAAAGAGAAGAGCTGATCAATATCAGAGCATAGATATGCACAGAGCATCAGTCTGTCTCTGGGTATTTCTGTATGGAGCACTAACATTCTCATGTTTCATATGCTTAAGCAGCCTCAGTTCCCGGTATGAGCGTCGGCTGTGGATCAGAGACTGAAAGGGCCGGGACAGTTTCTTCACTGCAACCTTCTGCCGCAAGACAACATCATATGCAGAACTAGAGAGAGGGAGAAAGAGAGAGAGAGAAATGAATGCTAAAAAAATATGTGTCATACATTTCCTGCATCCATTTTAATCATTTGCATAGAGACGGAGAGTTCATGTTAGCCAGAGAGTTTTAGGATTTATGATTGGGTTTTTCTGGCAAAGCTCCATGATACTCCCAAAATATCAAATTACTCCTCATGAGATGTAACGCCAGCAGATGGTACTGGCAGTGTATGTATACAGTATATATATGAGAGAAAAATGATTGAGAGTGGAGAAAGAGACAGACAGAAAATTACTCATAGAGAAGGAGGACAGGGTGAAAGAGGATGTGGTGGAACAAGAGAAGTGAGGTTGTTAGATATTGTGAAAGTGTCTCAGATTATTTCATCCCCCTCTTTTGAAATGTAAATGTCATTCCACATATCCAACGCTCAGCCCCTTCTGCTGCCTATGCCGCCGCTGCCTTTGTGGTGTGATGTCTTTTCAGTCCTGCCAGCACTCACAGTCATAACAATAATAAAGTCATCAGAGAACAGAACAGAGCAAACAGGAAGGAAACATGGGTGAGAATTGAGAAACGATGTGCAGAAGTGCAGAGAGAGAAAAAGCAAGAAGTGAAACCCTGGAAAAAGTGGATACGAAAAAAAAGAGTGTAGTAGTCATACTACCATGTGGCAGATACAACACAGCTCTGGAGGAATTTATCTTGTCTGTTAACTAAACTGCAAGGGAATCCCTTTTTTTTACTGCATCTCTGGGTTTTATGGATGTTAGAGCTCATTTGAAAAAGAGAGTCAAAGCCGTACACAGACTAAGCTTGGATCAGCTTTATTCTAAATTGGTTGGGATAAACTGAGTCTGCAGCGATGAATATCTCCTTAAATGATCTTTAGTGAAAGAGCGACTTCTAAAAGAAGCAACCGAGCTGTGAAAGATTCCTACAAACGATGACTAAAGAAACCTCTGTGGTTATTTACCTCTCCAGTTCAGACAAGGTGCAGTCCCTGTTGAATACAGAGTTGTATTTTCTTCGAGTGTTCCTGATATCACCTTGACATACAGGCATAAAACCCTCTTAACATACAAATATCTGTAAAACCTTGGGAAGTAGCAATGACATTTTGTTTTTGCACACTAATTAGTTCCTGTCCCCTTAATCGTCTTTGGACAGAGTTAAAGTTATGACTAATGTTACTAAAGACACTTTACAAAAAGCGCAGGTCTAGACCACACTATTTAATTATATTTACAAAGATTGAGTCTCAGCTAATAAGATCAGACTTCCTCTGATCTCCTAATCTATTATGACGTAACACCTTGCAACATTTAGGTTAGGAAAAACTTCCTTGACTCATAGACAGACGTCCGCTGACACTGCTGTGAGATTAGAGAGGGGTTAGAGGGAGATGCAGAAAGACAGAGACAAACAACAACAGCAAAAATGGCACATACAGACAAGTCGAGCTACAGCTAAAGCTCGGTTAGGTGATTTCACTTGGACTACTATCCTTGTCCCAGTTAAGGCGCACTAGGCAAGAATTGAATTATTAACAGAAGCATGTCCACCTCTGCTAGAGTAGGTGGAGTCATGACCCCTTTCAGCTAAGGGTTTGTTTACTACCTGGCTTCCTAGCATCCATGCTGTTCAATTACCAGCTCAGAGCCCGGCATGCTAACACCGGAGCATGTGCAGAATGCTCAGGCCAGTTCCAATCTGACTGAGCTTTATACATGCAAGACAAAATGGATCTCCAACTGTATTATCCAAGTACAGATGCGAGAAATCGATTTTGAAGTGTGTGTAAACATACTAAATGCCAGAAAAGTTAGCTTCCACCCACTATCTCACTTCCTGTCTAGATACTAACCAAAGCTAACCTTTCCAAACATTATTTTAAAGCTGCTGTTTGTTACTTTTGGTTTGCATCTGATTTGCTGCCCCCTGTTGACAAAGTGATACCTCATATCTCTTGTCCTGTACTAGTGAAAGAAGTGATTTCAGACCAAAACCTCATCCTGTCATCTTTTAAGAGTAAAATGTATCTATCCCTTAGACTCTCTGCCTAAAAAACTGCATTCAAAGCAGTTTCTTCTTGCTGTCAATCATGTGGCCTGACACCGACCCCCCCTTACAGTAGTTTTTAGGTATTACAAACTACCTAAAGAAATGATCAGCCCAGTTGCTGATGGTCTTGTTTGCTTTTGAAGGTCATGAAGAGGCATCAGTTTCAGTTTCAGTCTGTTTATAAACCTTTGAAAAACTCCTCACAGTACCTTTAAGATTTATCTTATAAAAAGGAGTGGAAATAATCTGCACATCTTATTCAACGGTTGTGAAAAATGCTTATTCCCCACAGTCTTCGTTATGTAAAGCAGACAATACAGAATCAAAGCGCCTCAGGGCAGATCAGGAAACTTAACCTTTGCTCTATTTTACCATTTTCAGAAACAGTCTCTGGTTTGACTTTTCTCTAACTGTGGCTTTATCTCACCAGCACAATCTGTACTTTCTGTACGGCGTCCAAACCATGGAAGGGCCTCACTCCAGCTCGGTGTCTTTCTTTCTGAGTCATGTTAGTTCACAGCAGGTACAGTATAATGCATATGTGGTCATCTTTACACAGAAAGAGTGCACATCAAATGAAGCATGCTTCCTATTTGTAAATATGACTGTATTGTTTCACAGTGACTTGTAATGCTTACACGGTCGAGTGCGCTTTACTCTTTCATGGCTTGGTGCATTCATGCGCTTCTGTGTCTTGTAATCACCTGCTGCCAGTCCGGATGTCCCTGCCCTGCCAGGCTTCAGCCAGGACAGCAGCCAGTCCCCTCCTCCTCCTCTGACATGAGCCAGGCCTCTCTGCTCTCACATTCCCTCCTCCCTGCCATCTTCCATACATGGGCCTGACTGCGCTGCTGTCAGCACACACAGTCCCCAGACCATAGTATCGATTTCTATCATCTCCTTTTGTTTTTCTATATCTGAGGACTTAATGTGCCTCTGCTGTCAGAAGAGGAGGAGGGGAAGCCAAAACACAGAGTCCAATTATTCATGTTTGTGGCCTATTCCCATGGGAAGAGTTCTCATGTACATAATGTGTCAGAGTTCATGTAATTTTCCCAGCAGGTTGTGGGGGGAAAGTTGTATTTCACACATGCAAAGAGGACAAAACTCGCTTTTTGCGGGCACGCTGTTTCCTGACACTGCATTTGACCAACACCGACTTCCTTAAATTTGCAACATTTGGACAGAGCAACACTCACCGCTGGAGCTAAGCTTAGCTTTGCCAACCGGATGTTCATCGTCATTTTCAGACTTGAGCACTGAACCACATTTTCTCATATTTCACAATCGCACTGCAGTCACATGATAACCACCATCCACCCTAATAAGATCAGCAATCAAATCAAAACCCAACCCCTTCCCCTGCTTGTTTGTCATGTTTCCAATCTGTCTGACAACTGGAAACATAACAATTTTGACATGTCGTGTTTTATTCATACACATCCAAATGAGGGGCTTCATGCCAAGTTATGGTTTTCTGAGCAGATGTTACATATGCTGATATGAGATGAAAGAAACTGTGATAAGCTTAGAGCTCTTTATTTTCACTCTCAGCTGCTCTAAAACCGGCCCAATTTCTGTTTTAAGAAGCAGGCGCAGAAAAGAGAATATTCAATGGGATCACAAGACTGGGACAACAATAAGTCTGGATTAGGCTGAAGATATCAAGTTCAGTCGTCAAACTTTATGATTTATCAAGTCTCAAGTAGCACTGTTTGTTTAGTGATTAAACCAGCAGCTGCTATTTGTGATGCTTAACTCTCTCCTTCAGTGTCCTCTGTTTTTAATACACCTCCTGTACAGCTCCTTTGCTCTGTGTTGCTGCACCTCGTCTCCCTTGGGTGACGGAGGTATAAGTTCTTCAGCTCTTGCTATATTAGATTATAACATCTTGTCAGATCCTTGACCCAAGGCCCGCAGTCTCAGGAGCTTAAACCGTGAGAACAAAGTGCCATTTGAGATAAATGATGAGAGCAGTTTTACTGTGCATCTCAAGAGGTAGACTCTGAGACTATCCTTACCCCCCCCATGGTGGCATACATATATATGTCCTGCTCTAACCCCTCCTATTCCCAGGCTAGTTGCTAGTCAGGTCTTGACATATGAGAACCACACAATAGCTGTAGATCGACATTAATAATGCAGGACAATGCTGGCTGGTGTGTAGAAAAACCTCCTTTGTGTGTGGGTATCATCTAAAGACAAGCAATGTCATAAGTGGGATTGTGATGTTTTGCTTACATGATGTCTTCAGAAACAGACCAGCTTAGATAAGCACTGCATTGGACATAAAAAAAAGGGGAAAACACCTGCTAATCCTGTAATCTTTAAGTTTTCCTTCTTCTTTTCAACCCAGCCAGACATAAAACGCATCAGATCATGCATGTCAGGGAATTACATGCAGACACAAAGGGCTCTGATCAGTGATTCTCCACCAAGCGAGCTTTTCATTATGCTAACAAGTTCCCTCGCCTCCCTCATTCCTATCTGTTTCTGGTGCCTTAGCTCCTCCCAGCTGGAATGTGAGAGACAGATGTGAAGAAAGAGACACAAGGATGGAGGAACCAGAGCTGCCAAACAGGAAATTCCTGGTTCAGTGGCATCATGCATAAGCATGTACATACAGATATACGATATTTTTACATAAAGACTTTTAATAAAAAGGGAGCTGGCACGGGTTATACTTGGATTTCTTGCCCTCTAAGCTGCACCAGGACCCTTCTTTGCTCCTTGGGGTGCATTTGAGGGATTGCAAGATTCTCCATCATGGGGGAGGGGAGCTCATTTTCAGGTCGAACGGAGAGGGGATGCAAGGAAGCATTTGTTAGCATAATGAACATCAACTTCTACTGCATAGGGAATGTGGAAAGACTGAAGAGCAAATGAGCAATTTAGGAATAAAACTGCAACAACAGTTTTAGATTTAATGATCGGGTATTACGTTACTTTTGAATACAAAATGTGTGAGAATTAGCAACACCCAAAAACTGAAATATTTGATCATAGGTAGTTGAAAAAGTTGGTTAATGTAAGCTCACTACAAGTGACATTGAAACACCAGAAAATGTTCGCTTTGAGCAGGCTAAAAATTAAGTCAATACAGTGATAGACATAATGTTAAAGGTACAGTGAGTAGAAATGGGACTATACTAATATTAAGCAATCATTATGTCAATTGAAATGCTCCCTTGCTCACCCCCTCACTCACTAGGTACAAAAATGCGTGCAGCCCTCACTAGTTTGGCCTTTCTGTGTTACCATAGAAATATAACAATGCAAAATGGTGGCGTCTGCAGAATTTATAGAGGATATAAAAGGTTCCTTTCAAATAAACAAAAATTAAAAGATTTTTATATACATTAATGTTAAAGTACTGATGTTGCTATATTCCATTTCTTGTCTGTTCTGCCATTAAACACCACACACTGTATCTTTAGGTATCTAAAGATAACAGGTGACACATCCTGTCTCTGCAAGTCTTAGCTTTACAACTGTGCAATTGACTTAAGTCGCTGCGGACAAATAAACAGGATGAAAAAAGGGTTACAACATAATCTCTTGAATTATTAATAACACGTAGAAAAGCCCCTAGTTTGATATTGCTCAAGATGAATCATTTGCAACATGAGTGTGGTAACTGAAAGGAGGAACTAGGGTGAAAATAGGAAGTGGGAAATCTTCATCTATATACGGTTAAAAGTAATAAAGATATGTTTCTCGCTTCTGTCCTGCTGAACCTTTAAAATCTGGAGTATCTTATTGTTAATTATTCTGTGTTACAAATTCAAAGTTGTTCAAAATAGAGCCTCCAAGAGATAAACAGACATTTCTGAGAAGTAGAATTATCAATGCCAAATGGGAAAACAACAGTATTTTGGGCAGGAGTTTTCATGTCACTATGTATGACATGTGTATGTAGCATGTGTGTTCAAAATAGAAATCAAACCATAGTCTTACAGTTTTGTGCAGACTCCCTTGATATTGAGGTCTACCTTTAAACTCTTGAGCTATTCCGAGCACAGCTTTACAGCTGCAAAGTTGACTAAGTGTTTATGCACAAAATACTCCTGTGGGGCTCCAGATCATTAAGTGGAGCACCAACCAATTCAGCAGCAGCACCTTAGATCTCCTGTGATTTCAGACAATGTCTTCATTCACATCTGACTCCAGAGGAAGTCAGCTGTTGGGATGAATCTGGCTGTCCTAAAATGCGGGTTAGGATGGTAAACAGGCCAACATATAGGCTCCAAATCACAAATCTTTGATAAGACTCAGTACAGGGCACAAAACTTGACAGAGTAAAAATAGCTGGCAGTAAAGGCTGCCACCCAAACTGCACAAATTGAGTCCTCCATCTGGAGATGTTTTTGATTTTCAGACACTAAATCTTTTTCTTCTCTTCTCTTTTTGGTACCAGGCTTCACAGGACGGGAACATAGACTTCAAAATTTTAAGATAGTTGGCCTACTGACAATGATTTTACTGTCCACAACCAGAGACATATGGCTCTGTGGCCAGCTGCCCGAGTCAAAGGTTAAATCTTGTAACCCTTTTGAATGTGACAAACTAGAATATGATCGAATTGCTGCAACATTATTTGTTTTACCTACAAATATTTTGAAATGAAATGTCTCTTCATGGCTGGAAAATGTTCAAGTGCTTTATGTTGAACACTTCAGCCATCAAGCTGCCAAAATGTGGGGTTACACGGGGTGGATATCATCCTATTCATGTCACAAAAATCTGATGATCCCACGATAACATCCTAGCCTGCTATTGTTGTTTAATTAATATTGACTGCTGGAGATAGTTATCACCCTGACACATCACCATGGCAACAGAATCCAACCAGCTGATACAGACTGGTCCAGAATTAAGCAATTAAACTGTAGGCCTATGTTACATGGTTGTAAATGTCTAAATGTACCTACACTGAGTGGATATACTAAAGAATATGCCAAATGTGTGTGAAACGTTAATGCCTTGAGTTTTAGGGTGTCAGACTTGTATTGTGTGTTACCTATTCTGCACAAAAAGCAGCAGAGACGAGGTGTTATCATACTTGATCTGGCAATGATCACCAGCATCCAAATATACCAGCCTGTGCAGTTTCCTCTTATATTCAGAGGGGGAAAAAGTCTCTTTCTGATTTTTGCTGCCTGTCAGTTTTTGTATGTGCAGAGGGTGGAGGATCATTTGGGAAATTCCTGTGTCTATGCTGCCCTAATTCTTTCTCACAGTATAAAAAAAAACACAGCAGACAGTGGGGGATAAAATCAAGTCTGGCAGCCCAGCTGTTTGTTGATATTGCTGACATTTGCACCAACATTAAAATATATTATTTAACCCACATTCTGAAACATAGACTTGATTGTTGTTTCCTACGTAAATATGTATTTGAATGCTGCAGACAAAGGCTACTCGATTGATATTAACGAACCATGTCAGCAAAACCCCCCCAAAAAGAATCAGTTTCCCAAAGCGACCCCCTCCTGACACAGCCGCTAAGTACGTATCGCAATGTTGATGCATCATGACCAATATACGGTAAACGCTCTCCGGCTTGTGCAGCCTGCCTCGCCCCTCCACACAAACACTTACCATACCGAGCCGTAGGCACCGGAGCCCACCGGTGTCAGGTTCTGGTACCGTTCAGGAACCTCCCACACGGTCTTGTTCAGCTCCTGGCGATAAAATCCTGGTCTGGCGGACATTTCTCCGTGCCGGCTTCAGAAATAATGTCCAGAAGAGGAAACGGAGAGAGAGGGAATGAACGAAGGAAACCGTGGGGACCCGAAGCGCGGGACGCCGAGCTGCTGTTGAACGCACCGCACCAGCTTCTCTCTCTCTCTCTCTCTCTCTCTCTCTCTCTCTCTCTCTCTCTCTCTCTCTCTCTCTCTCTCTCCCCTCCTCTCCCCTTTCTGTTGATTCATTGTTATTGATGAATTTTAAGACCCGCAGATGATTGTCAAAAATTAAAAAAACATGAAAAGATATTATTCAGTACTGACTCATTAAAAAGAAAAGAAAAGAAAAAGAAAAAAATATTTCCTCTATGGACTTCAGTATAGCCTATTATGATATAGCCTGATAATATAATATAATATAATATAACTATGGGCAACAATTAATAATAATAATAATAATAATAATAATAATAATAATAATAATAATAATAATAATAATAATAATTTTGGAAGTAACAATAATAATAATAATTACTACTACTACTATTACTACTACTACTACTACTAATAATATTAATACTTTTGGAAGTATCTGTTAAGCAGCATAGCACATCAATTTTCAGCAAAAGCAGCATTATCTGTTTTACACTTTTACAAATTGAAATACATCACTTTTTGTGTTGTATATAATGTAAATACTTGTATATTATCTCTATATTTTTACTGTCTTTACTTATTTTATCTATTTATTTCTATATTTTTACTTATTTTTACTTAACTTATCGATTATTTATCTCCTCTTTTACTGTATTTACACTGGAGTACTGTGACAAACGCAATTTTCCCCAGGGGATTATTAAAGTATTTCTGATTCTGATTCAAATGGATGGTCACCACATCGTGATTTTGTTTTTTGTTTTTTCATGGCATGGACTTTAAGATAAGAAGTCTTTATATAAGGAGTCAATGTGTGTGATTTTATGCCTGTTTCTTATTTCACCTCAGAGACCAAGCATGATTCCCATAAATAGTCAAATTCACAGTACGCTTTATGTCCTCTTTTTTGCTGCGCAACTATTCTGCTATCTGCTGGTATAGATCTGCTACTGCATGGAGTCATAAATAGCTCAGAAGTACAACATTGTGGGAAAACTCCTTACTATTTCAGCTCGAGGGAATTTCAGGCGATAAATTTAGACCTCAAGTCAACTGTTTTTGTGTTTGGTTTGGTTTAGAGACTGGAGTTCAACCAAAAAGTTTTTTTTTACAGACAGCGACTCGTTACTGACGGCTGAGCTCCCTTAAGTGCTTTGGAGGCACCCTCCAATGATAGAAACATATACTGGCAAAAAAATTGGCATTTCCCATTTTATCTTTTATTTGTGAACGCAGCATTGGTTAAGACACCGCCTGCGTTGGTGGCTGGCGTTGTTTGCGATCCGCCATTAAACAAAAGAAGAAGTAGTAGAAGACGTTGATGGCGAACGCTCCTCGGCGCTGGTGCTAACTCGCGGTGACTCCCATCCAGGTGCATCCAGGTACAGGTTTGTGTGCTGAAATGATGAAATAGATGTTCACTAACTTTGTCAAGTATTAACAAGCTTTGTGAAAAAAGGATATGATTTGTCCGTAAGGGACGGTTAATTACTTGTTTAGGTTTAAGTCGGCTACGTAGGTTAGCTAGGGCGGTTATTAGCTTGTTCTCAGCTCGTCTAATGCTAAACGCGGATAGCGTTTTTGTTGAGGTTATACAGTTAAGGAAATTTATCTGAAGACTTGTTAAATAAGTAATGTCAGTAGAGAATTAACATGGGTACGTTGTTAGTATGCATTTGCTAGTAGGCTGCTTGATCCTAAAGTGTCTGAAATAAGTGGACGGATTTGGCTACATGGATTGTGTTGATGCCGAAATATACACTGCGTTTGTAGTTGTTGCAGAAAGATGTGTTTCTTTGTTTATATCAAAACAGAAAACGGTGATGTTTTTTTAATGCACATAAGTTAATGGTAAGTTACTGATACCAACTAGTGAAATTATGTATTGCACTGAATACTTTGCACGCAGTGGCCACATGACTAACTAAGAAAACATTTGCAGTCAGAAGCAAAGTTGGTGAGACAAAGGTGAAGAAGCTGGATGGCAATAAATGGATCCGTAAGGACTGTAACAACTCCTAAATTTCTGGTCAGAAACCTCTCCTGCAGTCCAGCTTAAGAGTAAAGACTCGGATGAAAGCTGAACTCCAAAAAGCTGCCAAAATGAACTCTGCCCTCTGTTTAAAGGTTTTATGGTGCTTAGTGAAATTATTTGGGCCCGCCTGCGCAGCAGCGCAGTCAGGATGGCCGAGCGGTCTAAGGCGCTGCGTTCAGGTCGCAGTCTCCCCTGGAGGCGTGGGTTCGAATCCCACTTCTGACAATGTCTGCTTTTCCCTGCAACTACTGGCTGATGCTGCACATTGAGGGGCACCATGGACCAAGTCTGCATGCTAGTTGATACTGTAACCTGAGACCCATTTCAAGTTGTGTCTGTCCTCTGACTCCTGCGTTTTGCCTGTCTGTGATGGACAGATGGGGCTGCTATGAGAATGAGCAGACTCTTGCTCCTTTGAGCTGACCATCTTATTTGGGTTGGTCAGTAAAGGTGGCCTTTCCATTCTATTGTCTGATCAGCTGGCTTTGTTTTCATGCCAGATTTCGTTTGTTGTGCTCCCAGTGGTATCCATACAGGGTGGCGGCAGGTCCAGAAGTACTTGGCTACAGTGTTGGCCAGGTTCCCGTGTGGTTCCATGGTGTAATGGTTAGCACTCTGGACTCTGAATCCAGCGATCCGAGTTCAAATCTCGGTGGGACCTGCTTTTGAGGTGCTAGAATTCGGGGCAAATCCGACTGCAAGCCTGTGCTGGTCCCTGGCACCAGTCAGAGACACTGGAGAATTCAAAGGCCATCAAGTAATTTAGTCAGCTAGGGTTCCTCAAGGATCCTGCAGTCCAGCTTAAGTGTAAAGACTCGGATGAAAGCTGAACTCCAAAAAGCTGCCAAAATGAACTCTGCCCTCTGTTTAAAGGTTTTATGGTGCTTAGTGAAATTATTTGGGCCAGCCTGCGCAGCAGCGCACTGAGGCCCACTAGTCAGGATGGCCGAGCGGTCTAAGGCGCTGCGTTCAGGTCGCAGTCTCCCCTGGAGGCGTGGGTTCGAATCCCACTTCTGACAATGTCTGCTTTTCCCTGCAACTACTGGCTGATGCTGCACATTGAGGGGCACCATGGACCAAGTCTGCATGCTAGTTGATACTGTAATCTGAGACCCATTTCAAGTTGTGTCTGTCCTCTGACTCCTGCGTTTTGCCTGTCTGTGATGGACAGATGGGGCTGCTATGAGAATGAGCAGACTCTTGCTCCTTTGAGCTGACCATCTTATTTGGGTTGGTCAGTAAAGGTGGCCTTTCCATTCTATTGTCTGATCAGCTGGCTTTGTTTTCATGCCAGATTTCGTTTGTTGTGCTCCCAGTGGTATCCATACAGGGTGGCGGCAGGTCCAGAAGTACTTGGCTACAGTGTTGGCCAGGTTCCAGTGTGGTTCCATGGTGTAATGGTTAGCACTCTGGACTCTGAATTCAGCGATCCGAGTTCAAATCTCGGTGGGACCTGCTTTTGAGGTGCTAGAATTCGGGGCAAATCCGACTGCAAGCCTGTGCTGGTCCCTGGCACCAGTCAGAGACACTGGAGAATTCAAAGGCCATCAAGTAATTTAGTCAGCTAGGGTTCCTCAAGGATCCTGCAGTCCAGCTTAAGTGTAAAGACTCGGATGAAAGCTGAACTCCAAAAAGCTGCCAAAATGAACTCTGCCCTCTGTTTAAAGGTTATATGGTGCTTAGTGAAATTATTTGGGCCCGCCTGCGCAGCAGCGCAGCGAGGCCCACTAGTCAGGATGGCCGAGCGGTCTAAGGCGCTGCGTTCAGGTCGCAGTCTCCCCTGGAGGCGTGGGTTCGAATCCCACTTCTGACAATGTCTGCTTTTCCCTGCAACTACTGGCTGATGCTGCACATTGAGTGGCACCATGGACCAAGTCTGCATGCTAGTTGATACTGTAACCTGAGAGCCATTTCAAGCTGTGTCTGTCCTCTGACTCCTGCGTTTTGCCTGTCTGTGATGGACAGATGGGGCTGCTATGAGAATGAGCAAACTCTTGCTCCTTTGAGCTGACCATCTTATTTGGGTTGGTCAGTAAAGGTGGCCTTTCCATTCTATTGTCTGATCAGCTGGCTTTGTTTTCATGCCAGATTTCGTTTGTTGTGCTCCCAGTGGTATCCATACAGGGTGGCGGCAGGTCCAGAAGTACTTGGCTACAGTGTTGGCCAGGTTCCAGTGTGGTTCCATGGTGTAATGGTTAGCACTCTGGACTCTGAATCCAGCGATCCGAGTTCAAATCTCGGTGGGACCTGCTTTTGAGGTGCTAGAATTCGGGGCAAATCCGACTGCAAGCCTGTGCTGGTCCCTGGCACCAGTCAGAGACACTGGAGAATTCAAAGGCCATCAAGTAATTTAGTCAGCTAGGGTTCCTCAAGGATCCTGCAGTCCAGCTTAAGTGTAAAGACTCGGATGAAAGCTGAACTCCAAAAAGCTGCCAAAATGAACTCTGCCCTCTGTTTAAAGGTTTTATGGTGCTTAGTGAAATTATTTGGGCCCGCCTGCGCAGCAGCGCAGTGAGGCCCACTAGTCAGGATGGCCGAGCGGTCTAAGGCGCTGCGTTCAGGTCGCAGTCTCCCCTGGAGGCGTGGGTTCGAATCCCACTTCTGACAATGTCTGCTTTTCCCTGCAACTACTGGCTGATGCTGCACATTGAGGGGCACCATGGACCAAGTCTGCATGCTAGTTGATACTGTAACCTGAGACCCATTTCAAGTTGTGTCTGTCCTCTGACTCCTCCGTTTTGCCTGTCTGTGATGGACAGATGGGGCTGCTATGAGAATGAGCAGACTCTTGCTCCTTTGAGCTGACCATCTTATTTGGGTTGGTCAGTAAAGGTGGCCTTTCCATTCTATTGTCTGATCAGCTGGCTTTGTTTTCATGCCAGATTTCGTTTGTTGTGCTCCCAGTGGTATCCATACAGGGTGGCGGCAGGTCCAGAAGTACTTGGCTACAGTGTTGGCCAGGTTCCAGTGTGGTTCCATGGTGTAATGGTTAGCACTCTGGACTCTGAATCCAGC